CCCTCCCTCCCTCCCTCCCTCCCTCCCTCCCTCCCTCCCTCCCTCCCTCCCTCCTCCTCCCTCCTTCCCTCCCTCCTCCTCCCTCCCTCCCTCCTCCTCCCTCCCTCCCTCCTTTTCTTGCTCGTCCTTCCTCCTCCTCACTTGTCGATGGTCAGGATGCGGTCCAACACCAACACTCCTCAAGACCCCGTGCGGTCAGGGCAGGAACTTTCACCATGTCAGCTGCTGCCGCTTGTGACGCCATGGTGACGTCAGCCTGCAGTCGTCACGAGGAGCGTGCGGATGGCAACAACGCCCAACCACATCTCGCTAGTCGAGAGCCTTCAGGCCGAGCGATCGAACATGCAGGCACCCGATCCCTCGGACCCTCTGGTGGCCAGTGACGTGTTGAGCTGCAGAAGCTGAGCCATGCGCTAGAGAGCATGCAGATGGAGCTGCATGAGCAGGTGAGATCGATCGATGTCCAACTCAGCTGGACAGCTCTGCGATGACACGAGATTTCAACGTGCTGAATCTGTTTACCCCGCAGCGCCGTCGCGCTTTCGAAGCAGAAGAAAGACTGGCAGGTAAGGGAAAGTCGAGGGCCGGTGAAAGAAAAGGAAGAAGTCGGTCGGTAGACATCTGAGAACAAGTAGAATAAGGAGGAGCAGGAGCAGGAGGGGGAGGGGGAGGAGCAGGAGCAGGAGCAGGAGCAGGAGCAGGAGGAGCTGCTGCTGCTGCTGCAGGGTTGACATTCTCAACGCAGACATCTGTCTCGGACAATCTCTCGCTCGTCGTTCTCCTGTCCTCTGGTTGAAGTCTTGGCCCTCTTGGCTCCTCCTCCTCGCCCTCTCCCCGCATCCCTCCTTGGTAAAGAACCCCGTCTCCTCCACCCTCCTTCCTCTCTGTGACCTTTCTCCCCTCCCTCCCATCCCCTCCCCTCCCTGTCCCCTGCGCTGTTTCTCTCCCTTCTCCCTCTCTCCCTCTTCCCCCTTTCTCCATGGGCCCGTCCCTCCTTGCTTGCACTTCTCCTTCCTGCTCTTCTCCTCTTATGACTCATTCTGCAGCTGCCCTCAGCTACTGTCACCAGGGCAGGTAGTCAGATCCTCCCCTCCCCCCTCCTTGCTCTCTCCTTCTCTTCTCGTCTCCTCTTCTCCTCTCCTCGCCTCTTCTTCTCTTCTCCTCTCCTTCTCTTCTCCTCTTCTCTTCTCCTCTCTTCACTCAAAGCGTCATTTTCTCTCTCATCTTCTCGCTTCTCGTTTTTCGCCCTCAGATCTCATCGACGGTGTCACGTTTTACACTCTCGAAGTTTCACATCCGTGCGACAAGCGGTGAGCATTGGGGGAGCAGCAGGCGCAGTGGCAGAAGGGCAAGGAGCAGAGGAGCAGGAGCAGGAGCAGGAGCAGGAGCAGGAGCAGGAGCAGGAGCAGAGGAGCAGGAGCAGGAGCAGGAGCAGGAGCAGGAGCATGTTCTTGTCTTGATCGGTTCATGGCAGCCTTTCATGGAGCATGATGAAGCGATTCAAACACTTCTGCTCCCTCCACGAGGTCAGGCGCCTGTCCCAACCTTCTCTGCTGAACATATTGCAGAATCTGCTCCAGGAGCTTCCAGCTTACCGATCGTCCCCTCCTCCTCCAGCTCGTCTCTTGTACGCCGACCGACGGATCCTCATCGCAGGAAGCGACAGGAAGAGCTTGAGCCGCCGAAGGGAAGAGCATGAGAGTTTCTTCTGCTCGCTCCTCATCCTGTTTGCTTGCAGGATCTCATCCAAGACTTTCTCACCGCCGTCATGAGGATCGTTGAGGTGCTTGGTGAGACAATCTTTCTCTCCTCTCCTCTCCTCTCCTCTCCTCTCCTCTCCTCTCCTCTCCTCTCCTCTCCTCTCCTCTCCTCTCCTCTCCTCTCCTCTCCTCTCCCCTCCTCTCCCCTCCGCTCCCCTCCTCTGCTCTGCTCTGCTCTGCTCTCCTCTCCCTCCTTCCCATCATCTCCTCTCCCTCCTTCCCATCATCTCCTCTCCCTCCTTCCCATCATCTCTCCTTCACGATTGACGTCGCTCTACAGGCAGCGAATCTCTCGCGAGCTTTCTCGCCCTCGAGGTTCCTCCTCCTCCTCCTCCTCATCCTCCTCTTCCTCCTCCTGTCGCTGAGCAGTAGCTGCAGGAGAAGATGATCGACCTCAATGTCTGCGCGTCTGTCAGGCGCCAAACTTCATCCAGCCTTCCTTCCTCCACTCGGGGAGGTTGAGACCTTTCTCCCCCCCCTCCCCCTCCCCCTCGTCCTCTCTCCTCCGCTCCTCCTCCTCGTCTTTCTCTATCTTCTTCACTCCTTCCTTCCTCACATCTGATGACAGAGGATGGCAAGTTAGCGAGGCTCACCTACTCCGTTGCTCCTCTCCTCGACGAGGTGGGTGACTTCTTGACCTCCCTGCCCTCTCATGCCATGGCAGGAGAGGAGTTCAGATCAAGCTCCTCCCTCTCGTCCCCAAGAGCAGGAGGGAGAGGAGGAGGATGAGATCGAGCCTGTGCGAGAGGAGCAGATCACGACAGACGTAGGAGGAAGAGGAGGTGCCAAAGAGTCGATTGCTGGCCTCACGTCACCCCTCGCTCGCATTAGGGTGAGAAAGGAGGGGGAAGGGACGAGGAGGGGAGGGGAGAGGAGAGGAGGAGGGGAGGGGAGTGGAGAGGAGGAGGGGAGGGGAGAGGAGGGGAGGGGAGGGGAGACGAGAGGAGACGTGGGGAGGGAGACGAGAGGAGGAGGGGAGACGAGAGGAGGGGAGGGAAGTACTGAGGACTTGCTTTCTACAGCTAAGTGGAAGAATCCCGCTCAAGGACATCACATCCATGAGAGAGCAAGCGGCAAGGTTGGTTGCTGTTGTGTGTGGAATGAATGCAGAGGTGATGATGATGATGATGATGATGATGATGATAATTATGTTGCGGTTGTTGTTGTTGATGATGATAACAATTATGATCGAGATGATAATTATGATGGAGATGCTGCTGCTAATGATGGCGGGAGGACAAGAGCTGCGGCAGAGTGACTGTGACTGTATGACATGGTGACTATGGCCGACATCCAGGAATCTCTTCGCTGAGAGCTGAAGCTTTAGCTGCAAGAAATGACGATTATTCATGTTGAAATCTTACACTGTCGTAACAAAAACAGATGATTGCGACATGTCATGTCTGCCAGCGCCATTGCAAAACGAATGGCAGAGACTCTTCTGCCTGCTCAAATGGGGCGCAACAAACATGGGAGAGAATCAATGCTTAAAGTACACAACGAGAGCGGTGATGTCATCGACGACCTGGAAACAGTTTGAGAACACCGACAAGTTCGACACTTGACACTATCGCAGCAGCAGCAGCAGCAGGATCGCGAACAAGCAACGAGGATAGACGAGAAGATGAACGCCTGCCTCAAGTTCCTCACCTCTTCTTCTGCCTTCCAGCAGCGCAGAGAGCGACTGCACAACTCGGAGGCAGCTCTGAAGACAATCTCACATCAAACAGTGCTCCAGGGCTTATCGTGAACGAAGAGCCACGGAAATAAGAGGAATAGTAGTAGCAGTATGACGGAGGAGAGAGAGCAGCGCAGAAGGGACGGCAGGGCAGGGCAGGGCAGGGCAGGGCAGGGCAGGGCAGGGAAGCACAAAAGGTGAAGATAGACTTTCTCACTTCTCCGGGTTTCCTTGACATCCCTTGACGATCTCAACAACCTGCTCGTTCGACAGAAACTCCCACACCTGAAAGCTTGTGAGTGAAGCGACGGCGAGGATGGAGGGCAGGGGTTGAGGCTTACTCCATCAGAAGCAATGACCATGAACTTGTCCTTCTCTTCGATCTTGTACGTCATGATCTCTGAACGCCTCTGTCAGTCGCATGAAAGAAACGAGAACAACTTCTCGCCTGGGGTCGCTTGCACTCCCACACTCGATGCGATGTCGTCGCCGATGGATCTCGCCATGGCCAATCCCTAACGAGCATGAGCTATCCAACAAGAAGGGGGAGGAGAGCAGAGGCGAGGAACAAGCGGCATGGGGATCAAGGAGCAATCACAGAGGAGGGAGGCAGGAGAAGAGTCGCCGCGGAGGAGGGAGAGGGTGAGCCTCACAGGAAGCATCATGTTGGGCAACCAAACTCGGTGAGGGCCGATGGCATAACCATTCTCATCCATCAGGGGCTGCCACGCGATCAACGAGGAGGACGAGAGGAGAAGAAATCAACCTCGACCCTTCCTCCGCAGCTGATGATTCTACTTTTCTCATCGGGTCGGTCTGTAGCCCATACCATCACAGCCTGATATCTCTCAACGACTGCTATCAAACCTGGTTTCTGGTCGATAGAGAGTTCGGCAGCCAGATATTTTCCTCCCTGGAATGGTTGACGATCACAACAAACACGACCTCGACTGCAAGGCATTATAACCTTCTCATAGCCAATGATAGCTCTGGAGTCGCCAGAGTTTGCCATGACAATCTATTCCGACGTTCGATGAGAAGATCATTGCAATGGTCAACAGCAGGCATACTGTTCGAGATTTTGGATTCTTTCCTAAGATAAATCCTCCAACAGCTGACATCACGTACATGTCAGATGGGGATCGCAAGATTTCACAAGACAATTCAAAAATCATGCATCAAGAATATCATTGTAGTTATCACCTGTCGTTCCACTCAGACTGGAATCGATGGACTGCAGCATACAGCGAGTCAGGGGACGAAGCATGTTGCTTCAGTATGTGAGCTCGGATCGACCTTGTCGCTTTCCAGCTTGTTGTTAATCTTCTCAAAGGCCTGATAACATTTCACTCAGAACCCCTTTTCCTTTTCTCAGTAAGAACGAGCACCTGTATCAGAATTTTACCAACAAGGTCTTCATCTACATCGTTCTTTTGAGATTCTTGTCTGAACAAAACATGATCAATTTTGCTTGACAAAATCCATGAGATGTTTTACTTTAAGATTTCTTTGTCAATCAGCTTTGGCAGTTCCTTCTTCACATATCCTGGACACAAGGATCAATCGCACTTGTAAGAATTCAGTTTTCATCAACCAGATACAAAATGCCCGCTTGCTCCATGCCCATCAAATACACCTGACATTTGAATCATCAAGAGAGGACAAGCAACCAACCCATGCTCTTGTGATACCAAAGAAGGAGACTGAAGGGTCGCCAAACTCCATCATCGATATGAAGGCATCCTGGTATTCAGCATATGAGTCGAACTAATGCGGTGATAAACCTCACTTGCCTGATTGGTTTTCTTGATGCCATCAGGCTCGTATCCTTCCGAGAGCAACACAGTCACCAGCGGCATGAGAGCAACATGGAACAAACCAGCATTCGACATTGCAAAGTAGTTGATGAAGGCATTCGAGCCACGATCTAGCGTCTGCAAGATAGTTTGAGAATGAAAGCATCGCTGTCGTCGTGACTTGTTGTTTATGACTAATGGAGACTGTCAGCTCGTACCTGCCCGACAACTCCTTTCTCGGCTACGGGGAAGTTCTTCTTGTCACCTAGGTAGATCGCAGTGACGACAAGCTCATGCTAACTCGGAGCCAATGCACCTGCTACTGACAGCCGGCGATTGTTCTGCGAGTTGTCCTTATCTGCTGCTGCCGCCTGACCAAAATACTTCACTTCATTGAGATTCATCGACCAAGTGTCACCAAGGGCTTTGAAGATTTCCTCGATGATATCGCTCCGCCCATCACGTTTGAGAACCTCTGTACACTTGTTCAGGCCCACTAGATCGCAAACGAGACAACAAGAGGCACCTCGGCTAAGGTTGGCTTGCTACTACCAGTCCCTTGCCCCCTCGCCTTCTCTGCTCAACATCAGCTCGCTGACGACTGCCAGCAGATCTGACGCACCAGGCGTGATTCCTTTCTTGCTGGTCGAAATTGTTTCAGGTCTCAACTGATGCCTGCACCCGGAAGACGTGAGTTTGAACCATCGCCGTGCGCACTAGCGCGTTGCGTCTAGCTTGCTCGAAAAGATTTACACACGCCAGAGAATGGCTGAATCTACCAAGAAATTGCCCAATCTCGTCTCTCTGATCTGACGTGCGCTAAAACTTTATCCCTTATTTCAGGGTTATGGATGTCAGAGTTGTACTCTCATCCTCCTAATCTCCTGCTGTCATGCATTGTGTCATGCTCGCTACTGCCATTGATCAATGCTGATTCGTATCCTGTGGAATGGCATCCTTCTCCATTGCCCTCCTTCCTCTTGCCACATATCCTTTTGCAATGCGATATCCCGTGCTGCCCTCCCTCCCTCCCTCCCTCCTCCTCCTCCTCCGCTGCCTCCTGGAGTTCGCTGCATCCTCTGGGAGCCATAACCGCCGCTGTGATGTAAAAGATTTATAGGCGTAAAACTCTATATGTCTTCTTGCTACAGAATAAAACAATTGTAGTCAAGCCCTGCTAGCGGATTGGTACTGGGAGGGGGCGCAGCAGGTTGAAAAGACTCTTTTTCATAAAAAGATATCAAAATAGTTTTAAGAATAAAAAATGTTTTCAGGGAAATCTCCATACCAAGATCGTATCTACCCTTGACTTGGCGTGTAACTTCGGGGGTGGGGTATAGATGGACGGTCCAAGGACGGGGTGGTCAGAGGAAGAATGGGACTGCAGCCATGGGTGGTCAAATGGTTGCTGTAGAGGTCGCTGGGGGTAGTACAAGTACCTATCAGTCAAAAGCCAGAAAGGCCACGGGTGGTCCTGCCAGGAGGGGGAAGCTAATCATGGGGTAGGGTGGTCAAATAAAACTTGGATGAGTGTGACGAGGGTAGGGGTGGTAGGTGTGAATGTGGAAAGGGGGGTGCTAGTGGACCTGTTTGAAGAGGGTAGAGCAACCCCCTTTGCGGGGCGCTGAGGAAGAGGGGGGGTGGTATGATCGGAATAATTGTCGGTGGACACGAAAGTGAATAAGTAAAATACAAAAGTCATTGCAACGGGTGGGGTGGTGGAAAGAATATGGTGTGAAGGAGGGGTGGTGTGTCTGTGGGGCATGGAGGGGTAGTGGGTCAGGTCGGAATGACCGGGTTGGTTCCTGAATCTCTGAAAAGGCTGGTGGGGTACCGTAAAGCCATGACCATATATTCAGGGGTATTTCAAGGGGAATTCAGGGGTGGGGGTGTATCAAATTTCGTACACCCCTACTTGAAATTATTGGGAAGGAGGGGGGTGGGGTCATCTGGTGGTCGGCTTTTTTTAATGGGGAGTCGAGGCTGGTCTTTGCAGGGGGCACGGTCTATTTTACAAAGGATATTTTAAAAACAGTACTGTACTGAATGATTCTCCCCTACCAAGAAAGTTGCAAAAGGTACAAATAACTCATCACAGTAGTTCTCTTACAATATTGTATATGATCTTCTGAAAGTTATTGTATGAAGATTCGGTACATTTTGGGCTATCGGTACTGTTTTTTTGTACCAGAACCATCGTATTTGGTTCCATGGCTCGCATATCTACAACTGCCCACATTAAAAGTATTTTTGATTCCCCTACTCTGCACCCATCATTTGTATTTTACTCTTTTTAAAACCGTTACCGAAACAAATGACCGTTACTCGGCCCGGGCCCGTGAAGAAGGTCCGGGTCCGACCTGCGCCATCGGCGGCCGGGCTGGACTGAGAACCGGACCCCTTCCAGGCCCGGTAGAACCACCCGGTACTTGAACTTGATCGTCAGTCAAACTTTTTGTTTCGACAACCGGCGGACTCGGCAAGATCATGGCTGGGAGCGCGGGGCCGCCGGTGCTGAAGCTGCCCGCGGTGCTGGGCGAGCCGCTTTGACCTCCTCCTCCTCCTGCCGCTGTCCTGCTCCTCCTCCCCCTCCTCCTCCTCCCCCTCCTCCTCACTGGCTCTCTGTCCTCCGAGGCTCCTTTTCCACATTCCCCCCCCCCTCGTCATCTCCTCCTCCCGGACTCCTCCTCTCTTGCTCTCCCCCTGTTCAGAGACTCCCCTTTTCCTCCTCTCCTCTCCTCTCCTCTCCGTCTTCCGCTCCGTATCCTCTTGGTGAACTTGATCTCCACCAACATGTCAACACATTCCACGTCCATAGTGATAGATGGTAACAAGTCAAGGCACAAGCCCTTCCAGCCTTCAGTCTCGGACATGTCCTCGTATTCATATCCCTCCCAGCTCTTTCGCTTGAAGAAGCAGCGGTCCAGGGACGGCGGAAGCATAATGAGCCTAGTGAATTCTGACGACCAGTCAGAAGAGCATGTTATCCGGCTCAAGAGGAGGGACGTCTTGTTGCTGCGCAAGCTCGTGACTGAGGGGCTCCGCAAGGACGAACTGCCAGCATACCAGCCTCTGCAGATGCGCGGGACCTTTCACAGCATCCCGGCGCATTTCCTACCCTTCGTGCTGCTGCTCGTCGTCATCATCTTCTGGGGAGACGGTGAGGAGAGGGGGGAGAGACAGCGAGGAGAGGGAGGGAGGTTAGAAGCCTTATGATCGCCTTGCGCTGCTGACCTCGAAGATTCAGGAGTGAGGATGTATCTGTTCGCTGCCCTTCCCGGGTTGGCCTTCTGTGCGTACATGAGCTACTTCGTGTATCAAGAGCTCTCGAAGCCTCTGGTGAGCTTGTTTGCTATCTCTGCATGCTGAGAATGAGCTGTGGTCACGATTCAGGTCAAGGGACTGGACAAGGAGGGATCCATGTGAGGACTTCTCATTTGCTCCTCCTCCTCCTCCTCCTCCTCCTCCTCCTCCTCCGTCTCCTCCTCCTCCTCCTCCTCCTCCTCCTCCTCCTCCTCCTCCGTCTCCTCCTCCTTCTCCGCCGCCGCCTCCTCTGCTGCTGCTCCTCTTGCTCTCCCTCCTCTGCCTGCCTGCGGCTGCTCTTGCAACTGCTCCTCAGCCGCTCCTACTGCTTTGATTCTGCTATGCTTTATCCTCCTCTTCTTTCTCCTGCTGTCTCATCTATTCCTGGTGCTCCCTTTCATCTCCTGTTCATGAACGTGCTGCTCCTACCTATTCCCTTCCCTTGGATTTCTTTGCTGCGAATCATTATGTTCGGATTTTGATCATGTTGGTTCGCAGCGCGAGCGAGTTCTTTCAGAGGTTGGGATCGGCAGACGACTTTTCTCGCCTTCCCAGTCAGTACTCCTACCGCATCACAAGGACAACGTCGTGGGACAGGTTCACTGCTGTTCCTAGCGCAGCCATGCAGGCCATCCTGGAGGACCTGGAAGATGAAGACCTGGCTCGCTCGCCATCCACCAGCAGCGTGACGACAGCGACGTCGATGAACTACAAGGATTATGTACAGACGACGAGGGAGTTCAAGAAGAGACAGAGGGAGAAGGAGAGGGAGGAGAGGGAGAAGGAGAGGAGAGAGAGGGAGGAGAGGCAGGAACGAGAGAGAAAGGAGGAAGAGAAGGCTGAGCAGGCGAGGGTCAAGGAGGAGCCGAGGGGGCTGGCGAGGGCGAGAGCCAAGGAGGTAGACAAGATGAAGGAGATTAAAGAAGCACGGGAGTAGCTCATTAGGTTTTGGCTCTAGAGCTTTCACACTCCTGACCCTTATTCCTCCATCGGGATGAAAATCTCCGTCTTTAGCTGGGAGAGGACCTGCGCTGACCTGAGGCGCGCCCGAACGACCGGCGCGATCACGCACCTGCCCGACGATGGGCTCGTCCTTGACCTTCATGTTGAACTGCTGGGCAAGAGCTCGGACCTGAGGGTGAGAGTGAGTAGAGTCGCTGGCAAGGCTCTAGAGTTCCTCACCGCCTCCACCCGATCCTTCAGCTCCTGGGCACGACACATGTCAATATCTCATAGTCATGGCACAGGGGCGAGAAGGAGGGGGAGGGAGCTGACCTGATCGTTGGGCAGGGCGCCGACATAGGACACCACAGCGTACCTCGTTGGTGGGATGGTCCTGAAAGAGAAAGGTGAGGAGGAGGCGCCGGTGCAGGGGAGGTAGCGGGTCCCACCGGACGTAGATGTCGTTGTCCATGGGAATCGGATAGGATGGGGCAGAGGGAAGGATCAGGGATGCGGTGTTCTTCCCGTTGGCAGGGCTCTTCATCATGATCATTCCTGGGCCTCCTTCAGTCCCTCCCACCACCAGCAGCAGCAGCAGCAGCAGCAGCAGCCTCAACCACCATTACAACCATCTCCTCCTCCTCCTCCTCCTCCTCCTCCTCCTCCTCCACTTCACCGCTCATGCCAAGCCTGACAGATCGTCTTGTCCGGTTGTCGACGTTTCTTCCAGTCAGGTAGTTGGTGAGACGTGCAAACGAGAAGCTCATCCGGTCTCGCACCGTGTCGCCAGGCTGAAAAGATCTTGTCATCCCACCACCACCACCACCACCTCCTCCTCCACCACCACCACCTCCTCCTCCTCCTCTAGTCCAGGTCCATTTCAATCCTTTCCAACGAATCCATCCATTCACAATCATCATCATCATCATCATCATCTCCATCATCTCCATCATCACTGCCACCTCCACCATCACCATCTCCTCATCACTTGCACTGCGTTCTTACCGCATCCATCTCAGCCACTGACATTGCGTCATACTTTCGAACTTCCAGCGTCATCCCGTTCCCCGTCACCTGTCGCTCTAGCTCGAACTTGGGAACAGCCGCGCTGCTGATCATCGAAGGAGCGTACGCGAGGATTGGGCCAATTGTAAGCAGCACGACTATTCCCGAGATCACTGGCGCCACCCATTTGGGAACAACCCAGTAGCAGAAGGGGAAGGGATAGAGGGTGCAGAGGTTAACCAGCAAGAGGCTGAGGATCTTCGACACGCCCCACAGCACGAGCTTGATCAGCTGGTAGGAGATGTAAGAGCCGGCCAGGATGCCGGCCAGGCAGCCCAGGGTCGACAGCGAGCGCTCCTTGACTATCCTTGTGAAGAAGTTCCCCTCCTCCGCGCTCGGGGCCGTTCCCTGCCCCCCACTGGGTGACCCTGACATGCGCAGATCATGCCTGCTCTCCTCCAAGGACAGCCCTGCGCTGCTTGCACCTTGGAAGAAGGAGTACCCCTGAGGATTGGGAGCCTGTTGGGGGTGCGAAGGGTCCCGGGAGTGACGCCAACGAAGCAGGTAGCGAGCTCAGGGCTGAAAGCCAGCAGGAGCACGGGGATAAGGGTGAAGCTAGACTTCATATTTGGGTATGCAGGAGCTCCGCAATGAGATGTGAGGTTGCGAAGATTGCTGATCCGAGCGAAGGCTGTGCGCAACAAGAACAAGATTGAATTTGAGTGGGGACGAGGGAGGGGAAGCTGTTGTGGGGGTGTTGTGGGAGAGGAGGGGCGAAGAGGGAGAGGGGATGAAGAGGAGGGATTCAAGCTGAAGACAAGTAGAGAAGGTCGAGGGAAGACGGGAGGAGCGAGGAGAGAGGAGGAGAGAAGAGAGGAGACAAGAGAGGAGAGAAGAGAGGAGACAAGAGAGGAGAGGAGGAGAGAGGAAGAGAAAGAAGAGGTCTTAGTGAGGGGGGGGAGTGGGGGTTCCTCTGCCCGGCTCGTGCTAGCAGGAGCCGATGCGGGCAGGTCGCATGAAACGCAAGGAAAGATAGCAAACGTGAGGGTGGGGTCCCCTATTTCTCATTTCTACCCGTATATTTAATTACGAAATTACGGGTCATCAATATTTTTGGAGAAAAGGGGGTAGGGTGGTTTTCGCGGATTGTACGGCTGTAAAGGAGGAAGAAAAAGAAGAAAAAAAAAGACTCACTGAGGCAGAGCCCGGCCGGGCGGCCGCGGCGGCCCGTCCGATCGGACCGCCGGTCTCACTGAGTCACTTGCCGGCGGGCCCGGACCCGGCGTAGTGCGATCAGTGCGGCGGCGCGGCCCGGCGTCCGATCACCGGGGCCGCGGCGACTGCACTGCGGCAGTCACACGCCCCGGGCCGGGTTGCTGAACTTCGGAACGGTGAGAAGTTCGCACTGCAGTGTCTTTACTTCACCGTCGGCGGTGCCAGTGCCCTTTACTCAAAGGTAAGTTAAAGTGCCACTGGTATTGATTTTTAACTTAACTTTGAGTAAACGAGACTCGGTGGGGCCCGCGGTACATGTCGCCGAGTCCGCGGCCCGGCCCGGCCGCCACTCGTGACGGATGATCAAGTTCGGTCTTTCTGGCCTTTCGTTTTCTCCTTTAGCTGGACGACTATCGGCCGCCTGTTTTTAGTACTTGTTAACAAAAAAATCATTTATTAATATTTGTAGGGAATATTTATACTTACCTTTATCAAGTATACGATAAAATTTATTGACTGAAAACTCTTACTCTGCAGTTCTCCCCAAGAAACAATTTCGATCCTGTTATCTACCCCCACTACCCCCCCATTTCTACGTGTTGATGAGTGGTGGGTCACTCTAGCGGATCCTGACTGCAGAGGTGGGGTGATTGAAGAGGAGATATACGGTGGGGTTATCACCACCCGTACTTTTGACCCAAAAATCTGTTCCAAAAGGTGGGTACTTTCCCTGAGAATCTTGTAGAACAGGGTGGATAGCTTGCTCCTCGATCGAGTACCCCACCCATAGCCTGTGGATACCAGATCATTACAGGGGTACTAACACGACAAGTGGGCGATCTAATTGTCTGATGGGGTGGGTACCTTTGAGGGGTCAAAGTACCCCCATTTGGAACTCACAAATATAGGGTAGGGGTAGTAAACCCGTCAGACGGAGGGTCTTTTTCCAGGAGCTGCTCCTCCGCCTTTGTCCCACTCCCCCGCCATGCTCACCCGCGCTGCTGCTGTTGCTGCCGTCCTCGGATCCGCCGCCGCTTTCGCTCCGGCCCCTGTCGCTCCTCGCTCTGCGGTGAGATGAAACTCATGATGGGAACAGTCATTCGCTGTCGTTCGTGTTGTTGTGGGACAAGTTGTGATTGTACTGGTTTCTCGAGGCCGCTGACGGCAGGGGAACTTGAACTGTACCCATGAGAGGAAGTCTTGTTGTGTTGTTGTTCTGATGCAACGCCGATCATTACCCATTGTTGTGTATGTGAACTGATGATCGTTGCAGACTGGCCTCCGCATGGCTGCCGGATACAGCACCGCTAGCCCTTACTCCAGCAAGAACTCCAACATGGGTCCCGCCTTCGCTCCCGTGATCACCATCTTCGACAACCGTGGCTGCAAGGAGCACAAGAACAAGGAGTACAACGGCCCTAAGGCTGGTGATGAGAACGACGAGATGCTCGTCAAGGTCGCCAACCAGAAGATCCCCTTCCCCACTGACGATGTCGTCAACGAGTTCCGCCGCGAGAACCTCGCCATCCAGGGCAACCTTGACCTCAGAGCTCCCCAGATCACCATCTTCGATCACCGTGGATGCAGCCGTGCCCCCAAGGAGTACACCGGCAAGCGCGCTGGCACCTACGATGATGAGATGTTGGTGAAGATCGACTTCAAGGCGGCTGAGGTCAACAGCAAGCTTGCCCAGCAGGTCCTTGAGCAGACCATTGGTGTCTTGAAGGCCAAGTAAACAGCTCGCCATATTTGTTGAAAATATTTCTTTGTTCTAAAAAGCGTACGATGTGGATGTGTGGGTTTTTGACTTCAAAATAAAAAATAAATTAGCTTCGAACTTACAGTATTAATTTGCAATATGTCTGTATCTTGACCCCTTCAAATGAATGATGCATTATATCCTCTAGTTGACTCACGAATTTCACCATTGTGGATTACGTTGCGGACTGCAAATTTGTTTTAAAGGCTTCGATTCTCAGTGGTAGAATCGAGACAGTACAGGCTTCGATTCTCAGTGGTAGAATCGAGACAGTACAGGCTTCGATTCTCAGTACTAGAATCACAAAACACACAAGTGTCTTTCTTGAGTATCTCTGATGGAAACCTCATCCAAATTAAAAGAGAAAGCGCTCGTTTGTCGACCAAGGCTTGCCGAGATAGCTGTCTCTTGCCACAGGTTCGTGTCGGCACGAAAAGAACCTCTCGGAGATGATACACCTCCCGCGCGGGGCTCGGGCAATGCACATGTATTCACTACTGAGGTCAGCAAGGCAATGAGCGGAGTGCGTGTCGACGTTCAATACGATGTGAAGAGCAGGGGACTTTGGGCTGGTTTGGAGCCCTGTTTCAAACAAACCCACACGGACGTAACGTCTGCACTCACACTGCCAAGTCCAGCAGCAGGTGCGAGAGGTTAAGTTCAGTGAGGATCTCTAGATAGAAACATTCCTATGACGAGGCATCTTTTCTGTTAGTGCATGACTTGCCATGGGCGTCACCTTAACGTGCAGGTCAATTTTCAAAGCACATCCCACTCAGGTCAACTGTGGAAGCAGCAACGATAGGGCAAACTTCATTTCAAACTGTTACGCTGCTTCATCCCAGCTCACATCAACAAGGGTGTCAACCCTCTCCTGTCAAAACGGTCCCTGATGCCAGCAAGAGCCCAGCATGCGTCCTCTCCCCTCGCGCCGCTTACTTCTTGGCCTGAGCCTTCTTGGCTCCAGCGGGGGCCTGGCCGAAGGTTCCGAGGGTCTGCTGGAGGACCTTGTCGGCGAATCCAGCACTGAGAGGAACCTTCTTGTAGGCGACCTTAACGAGCATCTCGTCCTCAGGGCCGTTGGCCAGGGCGCCCTGGTACTCGGAATCAGCCTTTCCGCGCTTGCAGCCCCTGTGGTCGAAGACAGTGATGATGGGGGCGACTCCCCTGGGGCCCTCCATGTTCATGGAGATGGAGGAGGAGGAGGAGGATCGGAGGGAGGGGACGGAGAAGGGGGACGGGGCGAAGGCCGCGGCAGAGGCGACGAGCATGGCGGAGACGATCACACGGGACATGGCGTCACAATTCTGGAGGAGCCGCTTGGGGGTGGGGGTCATAAAACGTTTCTTCAGGGGTAGGGTATTTTCCAGGAATTTGGTGGGTAGGGGTGTATGTGATGGGTGGGGTATTTGATAAGAATTGAGATGAGGGGTACTTGGAGGGAAGTTGGAGGTAGGGTAGTGGGGCTAAGCGAGGGGTGGTAAATTACATTACTACGGGTGAAATTGAAGTCAACTGTAGGGGTATGGATACAGCCCAGGAAGTAGGGGTAGGAGCTGATTCAAATGGGGTGATTGATCCTCATGAGTACGTGAGGGTACTCCAAGTACCGGTTCTTTTGAGTCATTTTATGGTATGATGTACGGGTGTCAAAATTCTACAGTGGGTAGGATTGTGTGAATTGGGGTAGGGTTATATAATTCAGGGGGTAGTTATCTGACAGATGGGTGGGGTACAAGGGAGGGCATAGCGGGATGGTAGTGTAGCCAGCCGCAATGGCGGTGAGGGAGGGACGAGGTAGATGAGATGAGAACATGATGAAAAAGCCTGTGAGAATAGTTGGTTTCATATGAAATTTCTGTTTTCGAAGCGTCTTGGCAGCTGGTTTTTGACATGGATGGTTACTGAAAGGTGAAATTGTGCCTTGTTGTATTCTGCAATCGTGGATCTGTTGACAAAGACTGTTGGCGCTGGTCTATTTACGAGAGAATTCCATTTACAAGCATTCCAGGCTGATGAGTTAGTGGTGACGTCAGGATCGATGAGGAGACGAGGAGGTGCATTGATGACATTTCTGTACTTGGTCCTGTTCCTTTCCTTGGTCAAACGAGGAGCGGCCTCAAACGGCTGCATGTCCGCACGCAGACTAGCAGCAAGCAGCATGACAACGGAGAGGAGGAGCGGAGCACAGTGGAAAGAGCCGAACGTTCCTCCTGCTGCGTTCCTCCGTCCTGCAAATGTTGATCCCCTCAACCCCAGGGCAGCGAGCGGATATTGTCCCAGCGCGCAGCATCGTTTGACGACGAGGAGGAGGAGGACGAGGAGGCACACAAGGCTGTGGGGGATACACACAAGTCCACTCATGACTATCGAAGTTGATCGGGTGAGTGACATCAGCATGCCCCTGCCCCTGCCCCTGCCCCTGCCCCTGCCTCCTTGTCCATCGCTCTTCTCCTCCCTCCTCACATTGCCTTGCAGGTTCGAGCGGACACGAGAGGATGCGTCTCTTCCATCCATTTCAACAACGCCGGCGCATCTCTGATGCCCAAAGTTGTAGCTGACACATGTAAGACACTCTCTGCTGCTGCTGCTGCCACGTCCACCGCAGCCGCCGCCATGACCACCTCCTCCAGCCTCCCTCCGTCCTTCCCTCCCTACTCTTCCTCCTCCTCCTGCCTTTCCTCTTTCCTCCGTCTCCTTCCCCTTGTCCTGAACCTCCGTCCCCTCTCCAACCCCCTGGCTTCTTCCTTCTCCCCTCACTTTGGGCTTCAGATGTGGAGTATGTGCAACAAGAGGAGTTGGCGGGAGGCTACGAAGTTGCTGCAACAAGCGAGCCTTGCTCCCACTTCTACCTGCCCTGACAGCCAGGCAGGGGGCAATGAGCTCGAGGGGTTTTACGAGGCTGCCGCGCGGCTTCTGAGCTGTGGGAAGGACGAGGAAAGTGATGAGAGTGTCGGACCGGATGACTGACGGTCAGAGATGAGCAGGTGGCGTTTGTTGAGTCTGCTACGAGAGGGTACGATCCCCTCCTCCTCCTCCTCCTCCTCCTCCTCCTCCTCCTCCTCCTCCTCTTCCCTCTCCCTCTCCCTCTTCCACTCCCTCTCCCTCTCCCTCTCCCTCTCCCTCTCCCTCTCCCTCTCCCTCTCCCTCTCCCTCTCCCTCTCCCTCTCCCTCTCCCTCTCCCTCTCCCTCTCCCTTACGCCTCGTTAGCTGGGCATTAGCCCTTACGCCTCGTTA